GATGTCTTTACTGGGCTAGTATAGTTCATTCCTTACTTAACCATTTCAGATCAGGAAGACGTGGTTCCCGAGCCCGTTCCACAGGAAGACGGCGAGGTAGACGCCTAAAGATTTTATAATTTTTTTATTTCGAGTATTTCTTTTAATTAGCTTATTCTTTCATACGTTGAATATGTTTATGGTTATTGTGTAAGGGATGTTAATCATAATTTTTATTTCGCATCCACATTTAAAATTTTTAATACATACATCTTTACTTAAATTTCTGGGGTCATTACAATATGTGTTATGTTGCAGATTATATATGAAATCATAATATTTATAATGTTATTGTTTTCATAAGTTATTTTTATAAATCTCACTGCTGTAAGTGGACGATAAATGATTTTATTATTGATAAATGAATTCGTTTGAAAATTTGTGCTTTATTGGTTGTTTTTGGTTTTCTACTAACTTTTACTTCTGTGACGGTAATATATTATGATGTTCTTACTGGGCTAGTGTAACTCACTCCTTATTTAACCATTTCAGATCAGGAGGACCCGGTTCTCGAGCCCGATTCGCAAGAAGGCTACGAGTAGACCCTAGATACTTTATAATTTCTTTTATTTTTTTTCTTATTTTTCGTATTTCTTTCAGAGAACTTATTTTGTGATATTGTTTAGTACTTTTAAGTTATTGTGTAAGGGATGTTAACCTTAATCTTTTATTTCGTTTCCGCACTCAAATTATTATATGTATTTCTTTTTGAATTTCCGGGGCCGTTACATATTTAGTGTAAAATTTAACTTTCCTAATATTAACCTTGAGATCTGTCTGCTACTTGTTTAGAAATTTTGCAAGAAAATCTTGAACACTAAATAACTCTAAATTAAAATTTAAATTAGATTATTGTAAAGAAACGTCGTAAAAGCTTTGGAGGCAAGGAAGTGAGAGAATTCATGAGATTCCTTAATTCTTATTGATTTTTTTTTTAGAGAATGTTGTGAAAAAAATAAACAAAAAACATACTCATGGCTAAGTGTGAAAACTAAGTGTAGTTATTATTTGTAAAATAAATGAATAAACAAAAATACTCGAGAGAGTAGAGAGAGTTATATGTTCTAAGGTCAACGGAATCAATTGTTTCTCTAACATTTAAAACTCTAATAACTGAAGAAATTTCAAATCGAGCAGTAAAATTACTAAAAAAAAATTAAGTAACAAAAAAATTATTAAAGAACTCGAATTTTCAACATTTTAGATATTGATAAAAGAAGTATAATAGATAAGCCAAAACTCAAATGTTAATTTTTGGCATGTTAAAAATAAATATCAAAGTTAAAAAAATTATGTAGTTTAAATCTTTAATTTTATCGTAGTTGTAAAGTTTATAAGAAATAATTAAAATTAGAATTACAACATAGTTTATAAAATTTTATTATAAAAAATTATAAATAGATCATAATTATAATATAATTATGACATTTGTACTATGATCTTAAATGCAAAACTTTTTTTATAGTATGAGGGATGGGAGTGTCCGTGATTCATAACCGTGTAACACTTTGCTAATTCATTATTTTTTGAAATAATTTTTACACTATTCATTATTTTCTTTATAAAATAAAAGACAAAAATAACAGTATCTCATTCTTTGCCAAATAGAGTGTTAGGGTACTAAACCTTTATTCCATTTGAAGCATTTTACACGCTTTATTTCCGCCTCAAGCAAAGCAAGAGAGAAAATTTAGGAATATTTGTAGGCTACACAAGAACCGAGTTAACCAAAAAGCGAATCACAACGGCGTCGTTTTTGGATTATGAGAGGGGCATTACGGTAAATTGAAAGAAACCTGGTAAGACTGCTTATTCATTCAAGCATCGAGAGCTCAGTCCAACCCGAAACCCCAACAGAGCTCACCAACCCCCCCTGCGCTGACTCTCTCAAATCTCTCCCTCTCTCTCACTGTTTCCTAGAGGGAGAAAACCCTAAGAAGGAATTCACAATGGCGAGCAGTTCGGCGAACCTGGAGGATGTTCCGTCTGTGGATCTCATGACTGAGCTTCTTCGTCGCATGAAATGTGCCCCCAAGCCCAACAAACGTCTCATTCTCATTGGTACTTACACCATCTACACGCTAATGTTTTATACCCTTATATGAAAACTGAGTTTTTGGGTTTTGTTGTGAAATTCAGCTGGAACCCCCAGATCCAGGGGGTTTCCTGTTGTATTGTTTGGTTATCGGGAAGTTTAGGATGTCAGGAGATAAGAAAGGTTGAAGCTTTGTGCCTTGAGATTGAGAATTGTTAACAATGAGTCCATGGGTATTACGAAAATGAAAGCTTTCGCATTTCTTATCACTTTATCTGCTTATTTTTAGCAGCCAATCATAGCAGTGAAGAAAATTTTGGGGCTTTGTTTCTAATGTTGTTGAAATGTGTTCCCCTCATTTTCTAGTGTGTGAATTTTATTTTCATACTTTTTCATGGCATCAAAAGAGGAGTTCCGGGGTGGGGAATGAATTGACATGCAATTATGCAGATTATGGTCAACTTTGATTTTGTACGGGAGGCTTATTATTGGACCACCGGGAATTTCCATTTGATATCAGAAAATGGATTTTCAAGGTGCTTTTTGAAAGCTTATTCAAGAAAAAAGTAGATAGAGTAATTCTAATTCCCCTTGGTATTTATAAAGGAAGTATAGGATTTAAAGAAAAATTTGCATTACTTTTCTCCTCACTTTGGGTGGTACATTTCTGTGTCTGTGTGTGTCCATCTTCTCTGATGTTTGTTTGCTTAGTGGGAAGAATTCAGTTTTGGGTATGAAAAAAGAACACTTAATTATACTTCTTATATCTGGATTTTGTGTTCAATATGTCAAAGGAAACTCATTTTGTAACAAGGATGATATTGCCTCTTTACTTTGTCCATCTTTAGGTTATAGGAGGTTACTGTTGTTATTTGTTAATATCCCTTACTAATGTTATTTGTTAATATTACCTTTTAGTGGTTGAACGTGGTGGCCCTTGCAATTTGGGATGTTTGATTGTTGAAAATTGAGAAGAAAAATATTTTTTTCTCATTATTTCTAATTTAATGAGCTAAATAAATTTGTAATTTTATCCATTTCATCTATGGCTTAGGATTTTATCTATAATGGTTATCTATTGAATGTTGCTAAAAATCATGTGATTTGCAGGTCCACCTGGATCAGGGAAAGGTACTCAATCTCCAATCATTAAGGAAGAATACTGCTTGTGCCACTTGGCTACCGGTGATATGTTAAGAGCTGCTGTTGCTGCTAAAACCCCTCTTGGAATTAAGGCCAAGGAGGCTATGGACAAGGTCCAAATTTCTCATTACGTTTTCATGTGTTATCTACTTACCTTGAAAAAAAAAAAATTTCATGTCTTATCTACATGGCTTTCCACTGATATGTGTCTTTTGCGCTGTTTCTGTAATGGTTTTCCAGGGAGAACTTGTTTCTGATGACTTGGTTGTTGGCATCATTGATGAAGCGATGAAGAGACCTTCATGTGAGAAGGGTTTCATTCTTGACGGGTTCCCCAGGACTGTCACTCAAGCAGAAAAGGTCTCTTTTTTAGTTTTAATTTTTCTTTCGAAACTATTGATTTTATCCCAGCTTATTTCCTTTTTAAAGAAAGAGATTCTTATCCTTACTATGTTATAATTTTTATTTGCAGCTTGATGAGATGCTGAAAAAACAAGGGGCTAAAATTGATAAAGTTATTGATTTTGCAATTGACGATGCAATTTTGGAGGAAAGGATTACTGGCCGCTGGATCCACCCTTCAAGTGGCAGGACCTATCACACAAAGTTTGCACCTCCTAAAGTTCCGGGAATTGATGATGTAAGAAATGGGACTATTCTCCTTTTTGTTTTTTTGTTGCAAAAATATCATATACAATATATCTATTCTATATTTGCAGAAAATCCATTGAGAGGATATCAAGTGAATTTTTTTTTTTCTTGATTGTGGGTGAAATCAAAATGTAAAAATAGTTTGTGAAACACAGGGTCCACTTATATGAAGTTGTTGATTACATGAATTACTGGAGAATAGAAAGTTGATCCATAAGGCCATGGATTTGTTTATTTATAGCCACATATTATCTTCAGCCTGGTAAAAATTTCAATGAGATATATGATATCCCGTGGCAGAGTTTAACAATGTAATTCATGATCTTTCTGTGTCCAACTTGTAGCTTAAATTGCCTGTTTTTCTTCTCATTTTTTCACCTGCTCCCTTACACCTAATGACCACGTTGTTGACCTTCCTACTGGTGACATCTTTGTTCTTCTGAAGTTAAGATATCATTTTGTTGAATTTTTTCCTAAAAGGTAACTGGTGAACCCCTGATTCAACGTAAGGATGATACTGCTGCTGTTCTAAAATCGAGGCTGGAGGCATTTCACAAGCAAACTGAACCAGTATGATTTCTATTTTTTTTCATGCTATCATTTTAAAATAAGCTTGTTTCTGCAATAATTCTTTTTGGGATTAATTGATCTAATTATCAGAAGTATTTGTGGAGTTTATACTGAAGTTAGTGACATGAAATAGATCAACATAACAGTTGTACAACCTCTTTATTTCTTTTTTCAAGGTGGGGATGGGACCTAGAATAAAAATGAAAAGTCAGCATGAATTGAATGGTTTGTTTTATTTTTTATTCTTAGAACAAGTGCCTTGTGCAGTTGTGCTCCTTAGAGCCAATTTTGGTATTAATAGGATGGTAATTCTTGGGCTCCATTTTATCCATATAGGAAGAGAATAAAAATTTATTTCCTTCCATTTAGTGTGGCTTCATTTCTGCCATTTTTAAATTATTGTTGTCACATTTGTAAGTTGGTATTTTCATCCTCTTTAGGTTTTGTTTGGAATTTGTCCCAAAATTTTGTGGAATTCATTTGTAAATGTACGCATCATGCAACTAGGAGATGATTAAATTATATCTAAGGATAAAAATTTTCCGTCAGGTTTGATGAAATATGGGACACATTCATGTGAGGTTAATTTTTATTATTCTAGAAAGTATTTTCACACTTTTTTAGTTAAATTAAGTGTGAATTTGCAGCTGAATGCCAGTAATATTAAATTTATCTTAAGAAAGAACTAAGTTATATATCTTCCCAATCTTTTTTGGATGCCGATGCTTCTAAAATTCATTCCATTATAGTTTTTATTGGGCAATATTTCTAGGTAAATCAAAACGATTTTGGTATTTCCTTTGGTTTTGGACTGAATTTTCATAAAATTTTTCGTTGCCTTAGACTGCTCACTGGTGTCACTAATGGGGATATCCAATTGCAGGTAATTGATTATTATAACAAGAAGGGACTTGTTGCACATCTTCATGCAGAGAAGCCTCCTAAAGAAGTCACAGCTGAGGTGCAGAAAGTACTTTCATGAAAGTGATGCACTCCGCGGACCTAGGCAGATTAAGTTCAACTTTGATTTTTTGAGAACTTCACTGAGTTTTGCTCTTGTATCAGATATAGTCAGAAACATTCTGATGAATTGGTTTTTTTTCAATTGCTACATGGGCTGCGAATTTCAGCCATCATCCCTGGTGTTTCTGAGTTTAATGTTTTAAATAATTATATCCCTGATTGAGATACCAGATGGTAAAGGAGAATGATATTGTACTTATAGTTGACATTTTCTTTCACATAATTTGGCAGAACTTTTAGGTTCTGCATTTTCCTGATAGAAGGTTTGGTTTGTTTATTGGGTGCTTTCTGGGTACTGGGAACCCCAGATGTTGCTCAGAAACAAAGGTGAGTGAGTAGGTGGATGTGAAGGAGCAAGCAAAGGCATTATTAGGCTATATTGAAAGTAAAGAAAGAAGGGATTGAAGTGCTAATGCTCGCTTTTTCACTTGATTTTGGAGGAAGGGAACCTTCAGTTTAACAATGGACAATAGACTTGAGGCAGTTACTATCAGTGCTAGATTCTCTGCTTGATTGAAGTATGATTAAGAAATAAACTGATAATCCGGGTGATGCAGCTTTTGATTGTGATTTTTGCAGTTTGGAAGTACATATGTATCTATATGATTAAAATATAAAATGTTCTTTTTAATAGTCAAGAGTTAAAAATTTGTTTTTAATAAGTTTAAAATAAAAAATTAGTGTATAATTTGAAAAAAATAATATCAACTTCATATAAACTTAACCTTTAAAAAAAATTAATTTCATTAAAGACAAAGTTTGTGTCTGTAGAACTATATTATTTACTGTTATTTTTATTCAACATTAAATAATTTTTTATTAAAAATATTTTTAAATAAGCAGTAATTGTCATTTGTATTGGGGACAAAAAAAACACAACAAATAAGCAGTCAGTGCAAATGGAAGAACATAAAACCCAAGGACTTTGGCAGTAAAGGTAAATTGTTTTTATGTATTGGAATTCAGTTGCAATTTAAATATTATTTATGTTGAAAAAAATAAATCATGTCAAATTTATATTTATTTAATTAAAAATGTCTAAATTAATGTCCCAGTAAAATTTCAAAAATTAAAAAAAAAAAAAAAAAATCTCAAGAGGTTGATCTTTACTATTTTATTTAAAAAAGAAAAAAAGATTACCTTAAAATCATTAACAAACAAATAAAATTTCTAAAAAAGATTATCCAAATGAAGTTCAATTATTCCAAAAGGAGAATTTCATTCGTTATTTATTTGTTTGTCATTTAGTACCATATAACTAATCCTGTAACCCAGCAATGAACCATGTTTTATAAAATTCTATATAGAGTTTAGAGAAAGTGTGGAATCAAGCTGAGACCCCTACATGTCCACTGTAATCTGAGCATCAAGATGAGAGAACTCTTGGAAGAAGGCCTTGAAGTGCTCGTACGAATGTTTCACGTCATCAACAGCACACATTTCTCGGATACTGTGCATTGACAACTGAGGGGCACCTATATCAACTGTACGAATCCCCACACCACTGGCAAGTATGGGACCTATAGTTGACCCGCATCTCATGTCATTGCGGACCACAAAATCCTGTCATTCAATTCACATCCACCCCATTAGTTCCTATACAGCTTTACTTTTGATCTTTTTAGTCTTTCAAGTTCGATTCATCGAAAAACCAAAATATGTTTTCAATGTGTCTTTCTGCCATTCAATTCATCTTACAACTTTCATTCTACTACTCTTCCTACACAATATCATATGCCCCTCAACGTGTTAGCAAGTGCTATCTTCTCTCTTTCATACATAAAAGGACGAGAGAGACTCCAAATTACCAACCTGCATGCGCAACTTACGCCACAATGATTATATAAAGACTAACTTTACTCGTTGAGTCCGTCTTCCAATAAGACTTCTGACCCGCTGAAAGACCTTATATATGCTTATTCGTCGACCCTCTAGTTTGGCTTTATTTTTAGAGAAAACAGAAGGACGTTACCAGTATGTTAAATAAATGGATTTGTCACTTTGAAAAGTTTTAACTGCTACTATGAAACACAATAAAATGAACTAGTGCACTTCTTTTTTCCATCTTATGTACTCTAGGATTGTTTCATTCAGAGTAGAGATTAAACTGACCTGGATAGGAAGGTTATGCTTTGTAGCAATTTCTCTGAATATGAAGGAAGTGACTGCATTAGTTGCATACCGTTGATTTGCATTGTTTTTTATGACAAGGCCACCATGCAACTTGGGCTGGTGGTTCTCTTCATGTTTATCCTGACAAAGAATCCAGCACGAGCACAGTGATAAAATATTACCTGGAAATTGGAACAGAAGATTAAAGTACGAAATACAACATACCATGTAATTTGGGTGTAAAGCATGTGCCATGTCAGCAGATACAAGGAAACTCCTCTGGATTGCTTTCTTAAGCAGCTGAAGCAACAAATTGATAAAATTTTTAGATGAAAAGACATCTAAGGAAGAGTAATATCAAATGGAGGGTGATTATTGCAAGTGCCTTATGGCACTCAGAGTGAATTTAAGCAAGTCCCATCGACACTATCGTTATAGAGAAAGTGAGCCCACATTAAATCCTTGATATTGAATAAGAAATTTTAAAACTCCATTTTGGGAGCATTTCGATACATATTTTTCAGAAAATTCCACGAACTAGATGTTAACACTGTTTACTAAGCGTCCTCTCAAATGATTACATGTTGACCTTCACCTACTATCTGCTGTGGCAAAAGGCACATCCAATAAGACAAAAAGAGTTGGAAAGAAAAAAGGGCAGGAACTCAAGCTTCAAAATGCAAGCATACTTCTGAAAATGTTTCTTCTCCAAAACCACAAATGTAATTTGTATTAACCTCTTTTATATTTTCTCAACAGGAAAAGGGATGGAGAGAAAGAAAAAGGACAGGAATATAGGTTGAAACGTCTTCTCCTAACTGCAGCACCATGTTTCAACCTCAATTTGAAAAGCAGGGTTACACAAAATATATTTTCCTAAAGGGTGAAAAAATTCATGCAGATAAGAAGTAGACTACATAGCTTAGTTTAGTCCGGAAGTCTGCAAAGGATTCAAAAAAGAGAGCTTAAATAACCATCAAGGTAATATCGTAGCCGCATTTGCAGTGAATATATTATCACCTTAGAATCTGAGTGAAAGGAACATGTTATTCTTGTTAAAGCATCTTCCAAGACAGGCGATCCAGCTCCTTGTGCTGAATCAGATCCAACTTCTTCATGATCAAACAATGCTACCAATCTAACACCACT